TAAATTTAGTTTATAATATCAAATACTTGAAAGACGTGAAATATTTTCAACAAAACAATCATTAAAAAGGCTTTGTTTTTCATCTAAAGTTATCATTTCCTAGTAAAATGATCATGATGATCATAACAGTTATGCCAGTATATGTCAATTTAATGAAAAACTACAAATAATATAAAGGTGCTAAAGTATCTCAAAAACACAAGTTTTCACCTTTTTTCTCTATACTCATTCCTATAGTAATCTTAGCCTGGTTCAAATTTGATGATCTCCAAAATGTATCTCTACTCTCTCCTTTAAACAACAGACTCATAAAACCAACTACTCAATATCCACTTTTTTTTCTATAACCTTTTATTGGTACATTTTAGGTATACAATATAATGACATTCATCATTGGAAATATGCACCTTTATATACTCTTTTGGTTATTTTTACCCCCTTCCCCTGCCCTCCCTTACAACCCCTCCATCCCTCCCTATTTACAAAGACTTTGTTTCAATTTTTTCATTTTCTCATATCAATTCCATTCCCTTCTTTCCTTTCCCTACCCTGCCCAATTTCCCTTCCCAGTTGCCCCTTTTCTTCCTATTTCACATTATCTATTATACCTTTTAGTCCTTATTTACACTCTCAGTTTCTCACACTAGAGAAACTATTCTGTGTTTACACATGTGTGTCCTATTTATTTTATTTAAGAGTATTGCCTTAATGTGCATCCATTTAGTAATAAATGTCTCTAATTTCTCATTTTTGATGTCTGAGTAGTACTCCACTTTATTAAAAAACCACATTTTCTTTAGTCTCCAATTGATGGGTATTTGGGCTGCTTCCAAGTTTTAGCTATTACAAACTGTGCTGCTATGAACATGGGCACACATATATCACTGCGGCATGATTCTTTTAATTCTTTGGGGAAGATACTCACCAGGGGAATAGCTGGGTCAAATGGGAATTCCAGTCCTAGTACTTTGAGGTATCTCCATACTGATTTCCACAGTGGTTGCACCAGTCTACACTCCCACCAGCAGAAGAGCAGTGTTCCTCTTTCCCCACATCCCGCCAGCATTTGCTATTGGTTGATTTCATGATAGCAACCATTCTTTCTGGAATGAGGTGGAATCTCAGCGTTGTTTTCATTTGCATCTCTCAAATGACCAGTGATGTTGAACATTTTTTCATATGTTTATTTGCCATTTCTACTTCTTTGTGTGAGAAATGTCTGTTCATTTCAGATGCTCATTTTTGGATTGGGTCTTTAAATTGGGGAAGTCTGATTTTTTAGATTTCTTTATAGATTCAAGATAGGAAACCTTTGTCTGAGGGAAAGCAGGTAAAATTTTTTTCCCACATTGTGGTTTGTCTATTCACAATGCTGGTGGTTTCTCTTGCTGAGCAGAAGCTTTTTAGTAAGAAGAGATCCCACTTGTTTATTGCTTGTGCTAGTTCAAGGGCAACTGAGGTTTTGTTCATAAAGTCTTTTCCTACACAAATGTCTTGAAGAGTTCTACTTAATCTCTGTTCCAGCCAGTTCAGTGTTTGTTTTAATATTTAGATCTTTAATCCATTTTTATTTTAGTTTAGTGCATGGTGAGAGATAAAGGTCTAGTTTTAGTCTTTAGCAGGTTGAAACCCAATTTATCCCGCACTATTTATTAAAGAGGCTATCTTTGCTCCAGTGAGGGTGTTTGGCTCCTTCGTTGAAGATCAGGTGGCTGAGTGTGTCTGGAGTTGTTTCTTCATCTTCTAATCTGTTCCACTGGTCCTCAGGTCTGTTTCTTTGCCAGTACCATGCTGTTTTATCACAGTAGCTTTGTAATATAGTTTCAAGTTGGGGATTGTGATATCCCCTACCTTGTCTTTATTGCCTAGAATTGCTTTTGTCTCTTCTTGTTCCAAATGAATTTTTGAATTGTTTTCTCAAGGTCCATGAAGTATGTTACTGGGATTTCAATTGGGATTGCACTGATTCTATATAGCTGTTTTGGGAGTATGGCTATTTTCACTATGTTGATTTTTCCGACCCAGGAGCAAGGGATGTCCTTCCATTTTCTGATAAACTCTTCAATCTCCCTTTTCAAAGTGTACAGTTTTCAGAGAAGAGGTTTTCATTTCTTTTGTTAGGTTGATTCCTAGGTATTTCAGGTTTTTTGGTGCTTTTGTGAAAGGAATTATTTGCCCTAATTCTCTCTCAGGGAGTCTATAGTTCATGTAGAGGAAAGCTATTGATTTTTGTGTGTTGACCTTACATCCATCTACTTGACTGAATTTGGTTATTAAGTCTAGAAGACTTTTGGTGGAGTTCTTGGGGTCTTCTATATTCAGTATCATGTCATCTGCAAATAATGACAATTTGACTTCTTCATTTCCTATCTTTATTCCTTTTATTTCTTTCTCTT